GATGTCAGGATTCCTGTCACAATTGGTCAATGACCTGGTAAGCTTTGTGCAAATCCAGCAATGACTTGAGAAAGGGAATGATTAGAGCTTTTTCTGGGGGAATATCTTGGAGTTTTAGAAGGGTGGGAGGTGTCTTTCAAACATAACTTCAGAGGATGTAAGCCTCTGCCAGTAAGGAGCACATTGGGTCCTGAGCAGTACAAAGTGAGGAGACTGGCTCAATTGTTGCCAGTTTCTGCAATCAGTTGGTCAGAGTTTCCATAAGAGTTCTACTCATCCTCTCTATATGACCTAAGTTCTGTATCCTATAAGCTCAATGTAATTTCTAATTAATATTTAGTACCTTTGTCAGATGTTATGACACTCTGGCTATGAAGGCTGGACCATTCATGGGTAGGGTCCCCAAAGATTGGGACAGTCCAAACCTAGGAATTATTTCCTGAAGAAGTTTCTTAGTAACTATTGGAAAAGTCTATGTTCAACTAAGGTAGGCTTCTGTCTATCCATAGAATGTGTCTACAAACACTAGCCATTATTTGTAGACCAAAACAGTAAGCCCTATAAAACACCTGTCTTCATTATATATATTATATGAATATTATATATTAATATGTATTACATATGTGCTATATAAAATTTGTTTATATAATGACCCTTTTCTCCCTCCTCCTTCATTTCATGTGCAATTCTTTTTTATTTAACTTTTTATAATATTACTCTCAGTTCCCTTTCCTCACCTCCTCTTCCAGACCCCCATTCCTCCCAACACCCCATCCCACTCCATCTTCCTTCCTCTCCCCAGGGCGGGTGAGGCCTTCCATGAGGGATTTTCATAGTCTGTCATATCATCCTGGGCAGGGCCTAGGTTCTCCCCCACATGTCCAGGGTGAGAGAGTATCTCTCCATGTGGAATGGGCTCCCAGAGTCCATTTGTATGCCAGAAATAAATACTGATCTACTCTCCAAGGTCCCATAGATTGCCGAGGCCTCTTCTCTGACACCCAGGTTGGGGGGAGGTGTTTGGATCAGTCTCATGTTGGTCTCTCAGTCATCAGTCTGGGGTCCACGCATTCCCCCTTGTTTAGGTCAGCTGCCTCTGTGGGTTTCACCAGCCTGGTCTTGATTCCTTTGCTCATCACTTCTCTTTGCAACTGGGTTTCAGGAGTTCAGTTTGGTTTTTAGGTGTGGGTGTCTGCCTCTGCTTCCGTCAGCCACTGGATGAGGCTTATAGGATGGCATATAAGGTAGTCATCAATCTTATTATCAGGGGAGGGCATTTAAGGTAGCCTTAATGCCAGTTGGTGTCATTTTTGTAGATCTGTGAAGATCTCACTAGTGCCAGATCTCTCTTCCAACTTATAATGTCTCCCTCTGTTATGGTATTTCTCATCCTTCTCTCCTCTATTCTTGCCCTGGCTCAACCTTTCTGCTCTCCTGTGTCCTCTTCTCCCCTCCTCTCTTTCTCCCATCTCCCTCTCTCCACTGCTCCCAATCCAATTAGGAGATCTCCTCTAACCCTTCTCCGGGTTACCATGCATATCTTTCTTAGGGTTCTCCCTGCTTCCCAGACTCTCTGGTGGTGGGATTGTAGGCTGGTAATCCCCTGCTCCATGTCTAAAATCCATATATGAGTGAGTACATATCATGCTTGTCTTTTTGTGACTGGGTTACCTCACTCAGGATGGTAAGAAACCATCTATTTACCTGCAAATTTCAAGATTCCATTTTTTTCTTCTGCGTAGTACTCCATTGTGTAAATGTACCATATTTTTTCTTTTCACTCTTCAGTTGAGGGGCATCTAGGTTGCTTTCAGGTTCTAGCTATTACAAATAATGCTGCTATGAACATAATTGAGTAGATGTCCTTATTGTATGAGTGTACATCTTTTGGGTATATGCCTAAGAGTGGAATTGCTGGTTCTTGTGGTAGGCTGATTTCCATTTTCCTGAGGAATCTCCATACTGATCTCCAAAGTGGCTGCATAAGTTGGCATTCTCACCAGCAGTGGAGGAATGTTCCCCTTTCTCGACATCCTCTCCAGCATAAATTGTCATTAGTGGTTTTTGTGCCAATACCAAGATGTTTCAGGACTATAGTTCTATAGTAGAGCTTGAAATTAGAGATGGTGATGCCTCCTGGAGTTCCTTTATTGTACAGGGTTATTTTGACCATCCTGGTCTTTTGTTTTTCCATATAAAGTTGAGGATTGTCCTTTTGAGGTCTGTGAAAAATTGTGCTGGTATTTTTATAGGGATTGCAGTGAATCTGTAGATTGCTTTTGGTAAGATTGACATTTTTACTATGTTGATCCTACCTATCCAAGAGCATGGGAGATCTTTCCATTTTTCTGGTATCTTCTTTAATTTCTTTCTTTTAAGACTCAAAGTTCTTGTTATCCAGGCCTTTCAATTATTTGGTTAGAGTTAACCCAAGATATTTTATGTTGTTTGTGGCTATTGTAAAGGGTGATGTCTCTCTGGTTTCTTTCTCAGCCCGCTTATCATCTGTATATAGTAGGGCTAATAATTTTTTGAGTTAATCTTGTATCTTGCCACATTGCTGAGGGTGTTTATCAGCTGTAGGAGTTCCCTGGTAAAATTTATCCAGTCACTTATGTAAACTATCCTATCATCTGCAAATAGTGAAAGTTTGAATTCTTCCTTTCTAATTTGTATCCCCTTGATCTGAATTTATTTCTAACATTAGGGAGGTAGGAGATGTGAGAGGAGCTGATGAATGTGATTAAAGTACAATGTATGAAAATTCTCAAAGATTTAGTAAAAGCATTATTAGAAGTTTAAATCTTAAAACAAAAAAGAGAGCAAAATAGAACAGACTGATTCCTAAGGGTTATCTAGCTCTAGTATTCTGGACAGCATATATCCTATTCCAAGCTCCTAGAATTTCATATGTTCTTTGTCTAGATTTAGGTGCTTTTCTATGTTATAAAAGAGAGGGTTATAGAATATATTCTACAAGTCTGGCTCCCAGTAAAGTCACATTAAAGCTTATAAGGCTCTAGACCATAGGTGGATTCTGTTTCCAAGTTGGAAGTGGTAATGGGTTTCTCAGGATGGAGTGTCCTGCTTCTCACAGAGGGATCAAGTTTCCTGGCTCAAATTTCAGACTGAGTTAGGGATGCCTTTAAAAGATCCAGTTCAATCCCTGACACTAACCCCCTCAAAAACAAACAAACAAACAAACAAAAAACTAAAAGGCAATTCTTTGTATTCTATCTGTGGGAGATGTCCCCACTTGGGTTCCTAGGTTCCCTGTTGGATAATTTACATATGCAAATACAAGCTGATGTGCAAACCCCAAGGTTTCAAAAATATCAAGGGTTATCTTCCTAAATGCCAAACTCTATAGCTTGGATGTTTCCACTAGAGCAACCTGCAGAGGCAGCTGGCTAACTTCCAAAAATGGTCCTCACCGGGCTTGTAATCCACAGCAGTTTTCGTGTGCTCACAAGCAGAATCCTAGGAAAGGGCAGGTGCTAAGATCCAGTCGAGGAGCCCAGAGCACACATTTGAAGCTGGTTACTGCAGTCCAGAGGGCTAGGGGCCAGTTTCTTTCCTGGTTTGGTGAGGCTCTAAATACCACTGTGGCTCTTCAGCTTTGTATTTCTCTCACAAACACCTCCTTGTACTAGCCCTCAGCTTGCACAGTCTTCGGAACACCTGCGACAACAGAGTTTGCGTCACTGGAATGTCTCTCACGTGAACCACACTCTGTTCAGCTTGGTCACCTACTCTGTCCCCTGGGGCACTAGGGAATCCCTAGATCAGACTACCAAATAGGGGATTTACTTCTGTCCTCTGGCTCTAGAATCCTGTACCAGCTCACAGAAAGCTTCCTCAGTTTCCCTCCAGGCAGTGAGGTGCAAACACTGCAGGTTTTGAAATCCTAGATTCCAAGGTTCAAATATTCTCTCTTTACCTGCCTGTAACTTTGGGCAAGGTTTGCCAGCTCTGGTGTGCTTGCTTACAAAACTCCTGTGTTAGAAAGAGTTTCAGGGTGACAAGAAAAGGGAACAGGACTCACATTTTAGTGTCTGGACAAGGCCAACTTTACTCCTGGTCAAGAGGGTGCTGTCAGAGATTTGAACACACCTGGCAGGAAGCACAGTTGGGTTTTTTTGTTTTGTTTTGTTTTTGTTGTTTTTGGTTTTTCGAGGCAGGGTTTCTCTGTATTGTTTGGAGGCTGTCCTGGAACTCGCTTTGTAGACCAGGCTAGCCTCGAACTCACAGAGATCTGCCTGCCTCTGCCTCCCAAGTGCTGGGATTAAAGGTTGGTTTTGAATCTAATTCTGACGGAGACTGCATCTTTCCCCCCATTGACCAGGGTCTGACATCACAGTTTAAAGATCAGCTAATGTATGAACACCCTGGGTGAAGGGAAAGAAGGAGATTGGCATGGGGTCAGCTCCCAGAATGCAATAGGGCCTCTGCAGAAACAATGACTTACTGGGTAGGAGGGTGTTAAAATATTTGCATACAAGGTAGAGGAGTCAAAAAGTTTTGAATTCTTTTCAAACACAAATTTTATAGTGCTTGATAGAAAAGACTCATATTTAATATTTTTTATACCAAGAAAATTCTCCTGCTAGGGGTTTGCAATGTGGGTTTATCAGGGCCATCAGGTGATGGGGGACACAATCTCCTACAGCTCTCCTCTTATCTCCACCAGCCCACTAGCATTTATGGGAACAAGCACTGTGTCTCAGTCACTAGGCACTCCTTTTTTTCCAACTCCCACACTAGTGCTTTGCCTTCAATAAAAAACTGTAAGAAAAAAAAAGAAAAGAAAGGTCCACACACAGGAGCCCCTAACATGTACACCAGAGCTGGACTCTCAGGCATTTCAGCATGGCCCTTTAACACAGTGGTGGGACTCAGCCGCCTTCTGCATTTTCAACCAAGAACTGTTCTGTGTACCTTGGAAACCAAAAGCTAGAGCTGGGAAATAGAAACCGAAAGTGAATGGGAATAGGAAACCAGGAAACTGAAACTGTTCTCTCAGAACTGAGCAAGACAGCAAGCTGCTTACTATGTTCATAGCTCAGCCTCCACCTCAGAAAATGTTCTCAGATGCCAGTACATGGGAGCAGATGTTTCAAGAACTTATCCAGGAGGAGAAACCCAGGGCCAAGTGGACCTTGCAGTTGGATAAGAACATTTTACCCGATGGTATGGCCCAGGGATGGAGACAGTACCAGCAGACAGGAGTTGGCAGGTGAGTGTGGGCTGGGCAGCCAGTCCTCCTGAAGGCTACACTGGGCGCAGAATAGTCTCTGCCAGCCTGCTGTTATAAAAGAAAGAACAAATGTGGCTAGCCAGGTTCCTCAGTCTTTTTCGGTCATGGAGTGGTTAGGTTCCCCCTGAACTCCAAGCCTCCACCTTGTTTGATGTAGGAAGTTGTTGTGTCCTGCTGGGTGTCCTTACAAAAATACTTCTGGAGTCCTTGAAAAAATGCCTCCAAATTCCTCCCAAAGTTTTCCTTCCTTCTCCCTTTTACTGGATCCCCAACCAGAGAAGGCCTGGTCTTGGAGAAAACTGCTCACCCTCTTATCAAGAGAAACATAATAAAACACATACAATGGAAAAATGGATTTATCTACAATTTGGGTCCAAATGATGCAGCAGTGTTACAGCTTACAGAAGAGATGAGACAAAATCCACATGAGCATGTTACCAAAGATGGTGGCGTGCCCTACTATAGTACCCCGATGACACCAGGGGAAGTAGGCTTTCTTCTTTGGATTCTTTTTTTTTTTTTCTTTTTGGTTTTTCAGAGACAGGGTTTCTCTGTATTGTTTTGGAGGCTGTCCTGGAACTCGCTCTGTAGACCAGGCTGGCCTCGAACTCACAGAGATTCTTTTTTGGGTTCTTAATTTCTTCAGTAAAAGAATTTTGAATGAACAGGACACTCAAATGGAAGGAAGTTTGAGGACAATTTTATTAGAGTTTCAAAGTAAAGCCATCAGGGAGGCAAGCTGTCACTCTCGGTGGCTGTCTGGAGTAGACCGGAGAAGGAGCAGAAGGTTCTACCCTGCGAGTTAAGTTGCTATGGAGCTGAGTGGTGGTAGGCAGCTACACAGAGAACAAGTAAGCTAGGCCAGTGTCACAGTGCTATACTGTGGAGCCAAAGGGTCCCATGGCGGGCAAGAGACAGCACTCAAATAGACAGCTTCATTGAGGAAGGGAGGGTAAGAGAGGAGAGAGAAAGGGGGTGCGGAGAGATCTTGTGGGGAGAGAGAGAGAGACAGAGAGGCAGAGACACACAGAGAGGAGAGACAGAGACAGGAGGGGAAGAGAGAGAAAAAGGAAGAAGAGAGAGAAAGCAGGCGGATAAAGGGAGGGGCGCAGCGCATGTGCACAGCTGGCCAGGGTACTGCCTGCCTACTGGGTTTGCGCATGCGCTCAGGAGCAGGAGCGCTGCACTCTGCCAGGTCTTCGAGGGGCAGGCCAGGTGTGCCTGAATACTAATACACTGGAAAGCATGCTTAGAGCAGAGGTGGGAAGGAGCAAAGGAGAAGGTAATGCTTTCCTGAGTAATTCAGAAAAGTGAACAGACTTACGAAGCCAGGCAAAGAGAGTTGCTGAGCTGGGTTTTGTAAGCTATGGCCATAAGGAGCAGGAATTCTGGGAACGAAATGTACATTATCATTAAAAGCATGACCCACTTATCCGCTAGCATGGCCTAAGGTGAACGGATCTTCTTAGGGGTGGTTGGTCGATTGGCCAGGTGCTTAGCTGGTCCGAATGGAAGTTAAGTATCCACCCAGGTCAGAGATTATATTCTCTTGACACAAAGGAGTTTGCCCTTGGTGAGCCTTTATTGCTATTCTCACACACAGATGTAGTTGTGGGAGCCGAGGGATTTGACCTTCTCAGAAGATCAGGATTTCTTACTCAGGGCTCAGAGCTTCTAGGGCAGGCCTCCACTCCCAGCATAGGGAGTGGGAATTGAAAAATGGGGGTGGTGGTGGAATTTTAAGGTTGTTTCCTTTGCTAACCCTGACTAGTCCCTACAGGCTGCAGCAAGTCTCCTTGCCTCACCCCTGCTCAGTGCTAGTTCCTACAATTCAACTAAAATCAAATAGCCATGTTGCAGTTGCATATGACTTTAGAGAAAGCCTGTGGATAAAAGGAGAGAACGCTTCAGACCCAGGTCGTGGAGTGTCTGTGGAATGCCCCTTCTTTATTGGCTGCCTTTCTTGTAGTCCCAAGCCAGCTCCATGTTGGAGAAACCAGCTCTCCTGCCTTGTCAGGAGAGAAAGATGGCTGGTCTGAGAACCCAGCCCCTCTGTTTCTAGAACCCTAGGGTGTTTTCTAGAACCCCTATAACCGACAGTTCTTTCCTACCTCCTCATTTGTCCCTCTGCCTGCCTACCCTTGCCCTACCTCCACTCCACATGAACCCTCAGGCATACATTTCCACATGTTCTAGTCTGTTTATAAGATTAGTCATGAGATCTCTGTGAGTTCGAGGCTGGGCTGGACCGACAGCCTCCAAAACAATACAGAGAAACACTGTCTCGGAAAAAAAAAAAAAAAGATTAGTCATGTTGTTCAATAGTGGTATGCTCTGTAGCAGATGGTTGATAAGGTTGGTTTCAATGGCCTAGGCTGAGAAAACAACCCTCCCTCACTTGCCCTGTATATCCCAGGCAAATTGTGTATACATTTTATTATTTGCTTTTCTGCCATGGACCATCTGTATTAGCTCCATGTCGCAGGGTCATTTTCGTGGACTGGGGATGTGACCGGCACCTGCCAAGCAGCTCTGGGTCCGTTCCTGGGTGGGGGAGTATGGATGAAGAAAGGCGGAGACATGGGAGAGTATCAGAAGGGCAGTTTCAGTGCATACTGAATGCCTCTTAGTTTATTGATACACCATCTTAAGTAATCAACCAAAGGTGGGGACAATGGCAGAAGACTTCTATTATCATGTACAAACAGCAAATAGCAATTACTTCCCTTAATCTGAAATACACTTTGTAGCTGCATGTACTACTTGGCCTTCAGGGGCTTCATAGCTGCATGTATTACCTAGCTTTCTGAGTGTAAACTCACCTGGGCCCAAGTCTATTGTTACTTAGATAGGAGCCATTCACCACCAAGGCCAGGACATACTGCAGCTATTAATGTCTTGAGGACAATAGAAGTGACTTGAGCTCTCTGAACTCATGGCAAGATAGAATGGATTTCCATATATGGGTCCCCACAAGTCCCCCTTCTTAAATTAATAAAATATTACCTGTGCTTCTGCAATAGGACAGACAACTGTGCTTGTCTTAAGTCACCTTCTTCAACCTACTAGTGCTTACCCATCCTTGGACTACACATTCCATTATGTGTGACCTGTCTTAGGTCTCCTGGAGGCATAAAGATCTTATCCGTCCTTGGCCACCAGCCTATGTAACAAAGAACATTAGGGGGTGGTGCAGAGCTCCATGCAACGCACCTCTAAACTATCTTTTCAATGAAAGCTCACAAGCAAACTTGATAGTGCCAAGCAACATGTGTGCTTTTACGACTGCAACAATCTTCTGCAAAAAGGGGATGAATCCAGCTAAAATGGCCTTTTGAAATTGTGTGGGATGTCTCTGTGAGTGCCTTTGGCTATATCAAAGTCTAGATCTGCCTTTCCAATCACATTGTACCCAAAGACTCATAAGCATCACATCAAATTCCTGTCAGAATGAGCTCTGACCTCTTACAACCATAAACACTTACACAGCACAGCAAAGGTTACAAACATCAATAATTCCGGTATGATTAATAACAGCAGACATACAAATCGACTGGATTATAATACTCATAATTTCAATTCAATAAAATGTCATGATGGGTGGAGTATGAATAACTCCACAATTCTGAACTTTTTCCTTTTCCCTATCTAGAGTTCAATTCTCTGGTCTTGTAAAGTTCAAAAATAACTTTGCGATACCACAGTCCTTGAATGTTAACTAAAAAACTTTTGTCTGTGTCCTGTTTAAATACTGAAGAGGGTCTTTTGCCACACATGACATTCATAATAGTGTTTAATTGTTCTAAATGAGTCCCTTCCCCCTGAGGCTTTTTCTCCATAACTTTTCTGAAATCATGCATTAACTTTTATTGTCTAGATTTCTTTCTTAACCACAAAGATAAGAGAATTTCTATATTCTCTCCTCTGCTAAACTCTACTAAACTCTATTGAATCATCCATTCATATTCCTTTGGCTCTCAGGCCATGCTTGCTTTGGCCATTTTCTGCCGACCAGCTCTGGAGGCCAGCTGTGGGAGGCACAGATCACTAACTCTTCCTGTCAAGACAACACTGACTGACTTGATACCTTTTAAAACTATATCCAAAGCAATTCAAGTATGTCCTTTTGTTAGGATTCATGCATTTACAATCACACCTCCCACACGCATGTGACCGCATCATACATACAGAATATACATGCATCTTTCGGCCATCCTTTTCCTAGGTTATGATTAGTTTATTGAAATAAAACTTCTTTAACTAAAATCTCTTGCAATACCCTTGAGTTTGTGAGCATCCAAAACCTGAAGAAATTCGAATAAATTTATCAATGTCACCTTTCTAAAAAATAAGCCAGTTTCTGACTGGCTGCATTAATTAGCATTTTCCACACACTTGGCTGGGCGTCAGGCACAGTAGCAGCTCCTAAAGCTGTGGGCTTCCTAGGCTTGGCCTTGGCCTCATCTTGCCTTTCTCTCTGGGCCTGGGCTGGCCCACTTGCAGGTCATCTGTGGCTGCAGCTGCTTGCAAAATTAACCACCACCACTGTAGCAAATCTGAGCTCTTGGGGCCCGCAGGTCCTGCTGATGTAGCGTGTATGTGGGGTCACACTTTCCTTCCCCAAGCCCCAGTGCAGCTCTGAGACAGCTGAGCCAGTGACTCCCGTGAGGGAGAAGGATCCTTAAAAAACTCTTAAACTTTAAAAACTTCTGTACTTGCTTCTGCTTTACTCCAGCCCTCCTGGCTATTAAAATATATCCAAGTAAACATACAATCGTCTGACTGATAATTCTCTGTCTCGTGTCTCTAATTATATACATTTTTATTTTTCCTCCTGACTTACAACGTTCACTCACCACACTTCACTTCTTTTTTCCAAGCGCTCCCTTCACATTTGTTCACCCAAATGTCGCTGTTCCTCTGCAGCAACTATCACTTCTGTCTCCTGTTCTCAGTCCCATGTTTCAGTGCCACTTTTCTTAGTGATAAGGGGCTCAATAATATCTGTGAGGAATGGCTTACAGATAAAGGGCGGTAACACTGAAAGACATCAGTCTGCCTGTCTCAAAATAAGTACTTTATAGAAGCTTCCTTTTGTCATAATGAAGAAGGAAGCTCCATGCATGTAGTAACAATTGTCTTTTTTTTTTTTCCTGAGACAAGGTTTCGTTGTGTAATAGCTCTGACAGTCCTAGAAGTCACTCTGTGGGCCAGGCTGGCCTTGACCTCACAGAGACGTGGCTGCCTTTGCCTGCCTAGGGCTGGGATTAAAGGTGTTCTCTGCCACTGCAACCCTGCAAATTCTCTTCCTTTTCTGACTTCCAGAGAGGTTTTTACTATCAAAGATGCATGCTCCATAGTAACAGAAAAACATCTAAAATGCAATGCCTCTTGCTCTTGCTTATCTGTGATCAGGATGTTCAAAACCGTATGAAGGGGATTCCTAGAATCCCTTAGCTGACAATTTCCTCTCAGGCCAATGGTCAGCTAAGGACGCAGTGTCTTCTTTGTTCTGTCTACAGCTTCCAGTGTTCCATATGTGACAGACGTTGGGTTTCTGCCCAAGTGAAGATACTTTACCACCTGCACTGGGAGCCTGGGCTGTCTCAGGGCCGGGTGCGCATGAGGATCTTCGCTCAGAGGTGCCAGAAGTGTAGGTCTGAATTTGAGAATCCTGAGTTCTCCACAGACAGCATCCAAAGGATTCTGGAGAACCTAGTTAGTTATATTTTGCGGAGATACTATAGACATAGCTCGAAGAAGCCACCATCAACCTTGTATGAGAGGGTGCCGTTGGATGGACCCCATGACACAGCCAATTGTGAGGCATGCGCTCTGGGTTACCATGGAAGGTGTGCCTTTGCATATGAAGCAAAGCCCCCCAGCCCCCCATCTTCCCCACCAACGAGCTCCAGTTCTTCTGCACCAAAGAGCCACCACTTTCTGCTACACAGCTACGGTTTCTCCCCAGAAAAGAGCCACACTTCTTCCGCACCACTGAGCTCCAGTTCTGCACCAAAGAGCCACAGTTCTTCCCCAGAAAAGAGCCTCAGTGTTTCCCCAGCAAAGAGCCACAGTTCTTCACCTCAGACTTGGACTGCGTTTTTTGAGAATGCGCATATTCCGGAACACAGAGAGCCCCATAACACAGGGCTATTAACGGCGTTGTTTCTTGCTGCACTTGCCTTGATTCGTCTATTCTTTAGATAATAGGCTTATCAACTTGTTTTCATTCTATGGTTATCAATGAAGTGGATGTCATTTTAACACATCAGTGAATTGATTTGAGATCAAGTAAGGCCATGTGTGTAGAATAAACCTGGTTTCCTGGACATGCTCTGAAAATAACCTAAAACATGACAAACACATAATGGACCCAAAACCATATTCATATTAAATCACTGAACAGTTTGTATTTGCTTGCTCAATTATTGTCATTAAGCTATATTGAGTAAATCTTGACAAGAACTAATAATCATGAGTATTATTGTAAATTTACTGTGAGAGACTGAATAATGTTCTCCCCCCCAAAAATGTCCTTACCCCAATATTCTTACTGTAACCTCTAGAACTTGTGACTATGCTACAGTATTTGGAAGAATGGATTTTGTAGATGTGATTAATTAAAAGATTTTGAGATAAATTGTCTTGCTTTCTCGGGATGAATAATAAAAAAAGCTCCTTTTGTTTTGTCTTTTTAATCAAGGCCCACCAAAAGTTCAAAGCTGAAGGCTTGGTCTCTGGGTGGTGGTGCTATGGAAGGTGGTGAAAACTTGAGAACACGGGCTTAGACAGGGTGGATTGCTAGGGCATGTTTTTGTAAGCTTATTGAGCTGCTCACCCTTTCCCTTCTCTTCCTGGTCACCATGAGGTGAGTATCCTTCCCCTCCCTGCACTTACTTCCATGATAGTCTGCCTTGGCACAGGTGCCCAAAGAGAATCAAGTAATATTGTTAACACCTGCAATAGAGCTCAGCTAGCTATTCCTCCCTGAAGAAGCTTGCTCTCAGATACTTCGTCAGAGCGAGGGGAATCTGAGAAACACATGTCCTAGTCAGAGGGAGGCAACAGGGTTAACACCAGGAGAGATTTGAGGCTGAAACACAGGTTGGAACAATGTGTTTCAAAAATGAAGGAAGGACTTGTCACAAAGGTAGAGGTGAACTTCTGGAAGCTGAAGCAGGGACAGAAATGCGCCCTTCCTTGGAGCCTGCCATCACATGACGTCAAGTTTTAATAATATTGTGTGTGTGTGTGTGTGTGTGTGTGTGTGTGTGTGTGTGTGTGTGTGTGTGAGTGTGTGTCCTGTTTCCATGCGCCTTGGGAGGTTGACCTGGAGGCTTTATTTGTAGCCTGACTGATTCAAGCCATTATACGTCCTAGAGCCTCAGTTTCTCTATCTGAGAAATAAGATTAGGTAAAGTATAGGACTGAACCATTGCATTTTTCTCTGCCCTTTCTCAAAATGTTGAGTGGCATAATCAATAAATGAGAGCAAGTGACAGGGAACTGACTTAGCAGAGTAGAGAGATGTAGAATAAAAGTTAAGTTTAGGAAAAGCAAGATATATAAATAGCAACCAACAACTCTAAGGGAGATGCTGGGAAGAATGAAGAAATGGAACCAGAGGAACACCTTGTGAATGAGTATAAGTCTCCCCTCTCCCCCACCCCCACCCTTGTATACGAAAGCAGCTTGAGCAAGCAATCCACGGAGAGTAAGCCAGCAACAAGCTTCCTCCATGACTTCTGCTTCACCTCCTGCCTCCAGGTTCCTGGTTGAGTTCCCGCCTGACTTCATTATGAACAGTAAGCTTAAAAATGTCCTTTCCTCTACAAGTTACTTTGGGGCACACAGTTTTATCACAGCAATGGAAAACAAACTAAGATATTCATGTTTGGTCAGGAACCTACCTATTCTTAGAAGGTAGCTTTCACTTGTAGGGAGTGAATGAACTCCGTGAATGTATATTGTTGACATGGGCATGTCAAGGACCCCAATACCTGTGCCCCCTGGGACTAGCAAGCTTTCTCCAGGTAAGGCTCCGAGGGCTAGCAAAGACTTCTGTTTCGTGTGTGTAAATGTTGTCAGTGCTCGCCATACTTTCTTCCCCCAGGATGAGATACCAGGAGTTAGTAACTCAGTGTGTACATTTTGGAGGGGGAGCACTACTAAATTTCTAGCCTATGAGAACCTGAGTTTATGGGTTCATTGATCCATAGGCTCTTAGAAAGTTGGGCTGATCAAAGCCTCCCAAGCAAGAAATGCTGGCTGATGTCCAGATTATCTGCTATTTCAGCCAAGATTAAATCACTACTTTGTTTGTGATGGTGTGTTGTAATGTAACTAGTGTGCCACCAATTATCTGGCTTGTATATTCAGGGAATAGCATGATGAGGACTCATGTGTTCATGAGAAGTCAGCAGTAATATGTATATCAGTCTTATTTAGTAGAAATTCATACAATGGGTCCAATTCATAGGCTTCATTCCCACTTGTATGGATTGTCCACTCATGTATCCAAAGTACCAGTACTGAATTGACCAATAACAGAGACTCCTGGTGTCAAGTAACTCTCTCTAGGTGGTTCAGGGTCCTTTTCTCTGGTGGGTACTTTCTGGTAGGCAATAACATAACACATGTGGTTCTTTGTTGCTGCTTGGTTTTATGCTAATCTTAACAACCCATTCACGCTTTCTTCCTCTAATCTCACTGTCTCTATGCTTCCCATCTGTTATACTTTAAAGTCCTAAGTGTTTTTTGAAAAGGCTTTGTGTTAAAAGCTTGGGTCTCAGATGGTGGATGGATTCTTTGAGAGGTGGTTGAATTTTGATGTCCAACCTAAAAGTATTACTGCCACAGGCAGGACTTTGGATTTTATCTGAATGGAGAAATGAGGGGATGAAGAAAGGACAGACACATAGACACATGTACAGGAAGTCTGAGATCAGGCGGGCAGCTGGGAAACTTCACCTGTTTAATTTATACTGCTAAATAAGGAGGCAGATTTATCATAATAGGAATTGTAGAACACTATGTTTCCTTTCTCCCTTCTGTCCTTTCCCCTTCTCTCTCTTTATGCATCCCTGGCCATCATGGAATCCCTATATAGACTGGGAAGTCCTCCAATTTGTAGAAATCTGCCTGCCTCTGCCTCTGGAGTGCTGGGATTAAAGGCATGCATGACCATGCAGAGCAAAATTACATTTCCTAAGCTATGTGCAAATGTGATTATGATAAAAAGATAGTTTATTTTGTTCATCCAGATCTCCCCTCATTGCATCATCCCTGTTTATTTATTTATTTTTTTGTATTCTGAGCTTCTCCCTTTCCTCGCAAATTCCCTTGTTATTTTCTCGTTCTCTTGCTCTTCTTTAACTATATGCTAGATGTGATTGCTCTTGTGGGATTCAAAGACAGAGAATGTTCCAGTTGCTCAACAATGTAACAGCTCTATACTACCAATACTATAAAGATCTAAGTCCATTAGCCCAGGTGATGCTTTATTTGGATCGCAAACTTAATTGTATTAAAAACAAAGCAGCCAGCACATCAATGAGGCACACTCTTGTTGCATCTGTGATAGTGTTAAATAAGAATTGGAGACTCATTGTAAAGTTGAGCAGCAGCAACTATGGGCTAGGACCCGGGACCGAGTTAAAAGGAAATTTGGAGAAGCCAGTTGAGCGCTTACATTCTCTTATCTATGCTTCCTAGTTAGTGCCAAGCTTTCTATGAAGGGCTGCATTCCTCTGAACTATGGACCAATATGAACCTTTGTCTCATTAGGATGCTTTCTCTTGGGTGTTTGTTCATTGCGGTGATATATTACTTACGATTTATTAAAGCATGCCTGAGGATTCAGAAAGCAAAGTCAGCCTCAAGTTATAGAGATCAGGCAGTAGTGATACACACCTTTAATCCCAGCAACCAGAAGCTAGGATGTGGTGGTATACACCTTTTATCCTAGAACTTAGGTTTAAGAGGTAGAGTCCAAGGCCACCCAGATCTACACATGATTGATTCGTTCCTAAAGAGAAACAGCTCACACAAAGATGATCTTAGCACCTAGGATCACACACCTTTAATCACAGCTCTAGAGGGGTATAAAAGATAGGAGCAGGATCTTCAGTATCAGGTTTTCATTCTCCAGCCATATTGAGGATAGGAAGACATTCAAGTCTCAGGATTCTTCAGCTACGATGAGGAGAGACAGCAGGATCATCCAATTAAGACTGAGATAGTGGTAAGAGCTAGTGTCCGGCTCCTTTGATTTTCTGATCTTCAGCTTGAAGCTTGATCCCCAATATCAGTCTCTGGGTCCCTTATTTTTCATGTTATAGGTCACAGTATGAGAAAAGCGACAAAGCCAACAATAATGGCAGGCATGACTGGACTCTATCATAGGCATAGAATGTTCTACTGACTGTAGTGAATTTTGAATCTATAACAAAACTGATTCAAATGTATCTTTTTTCATTACTACCATATGCCACCAACTCTCAATAACTTCAACCTTGGAGTGACAGGGCTCAGGACATGGTCAGCAGCCTGGTGAGTGTCACTCTATTTACATACTGGAGGATTGACCTGATTCCTACAATGGATTAGAACAGTACTAGATGGAGAAATTTCAGTAGTATCCTCGAACCAACTGCATTGCTAGTCAGGCCAGGCAGCTGAGTTGGGGTCTGAAACAGAAGCACATTTTACTTGGTAAATATTCTAAGTACTGAGTTGATTTTCAAGAAAACAGACATTTGACCTGAGCAGGCTCGATAAAGGGTTCTGTTACAAGATCAGACATCCTCTGAAATGGATAAGCCTTTCCTTGTGTGGGTCAGTAATTATAGCCCCAGGCTAAAAGCTCCAGATCTCCAGCATGCTAATGCAGTCCCTCAGCCACATTTCATGTTTTCTGGCCCCAAACACTCTCCACATGTTCACTCTGGTGAACGAGGCATAAGACCCCAAACATCCTTAGGCCAAATAACAGAAGGAGAGATACCTCTGGAGACACAGAAGGACAGAGCCGTCTGATGTCAGCCAAGAATGATTTTCTAGTGAAATCCTGATGTATGCCCTTTAGCAGAGTGAAAGGGGCAGCTATTTGACCCTAGTGCCTCAGCTAGGACCCAAAAGCACAGGCTTCCATTTAAGGATGTCAGATATGTGAACACTCAGGGGTAATGACCCAGCCTCAGGGTTGAACTAAAATTATCTCAGTTTTGCAAGAAGAGTGACATGTTAGAGGAATTCAGGTAAACTGGGCAGAGCAAAACTACATACTCTGGTTCTGAGAAACTTTCTAAATGACTCAGAGTTGCTGAAGGCCTTCAAGTGTTGTAACATGCCAGATTGTGGAGGCAGTAGGGAATGAGGTAGTCACTAATTCTCACTGTTGACACAGAGCGAATAGCCTTTCTCTGGAGACCCTCAGATGTTGAGAAGGAGGGGGAGGGATCCCAGGTGGCTTTAGTGACTCAAATACCTTATAGTATCTTTCAGATGTCCTCTAGGGCTAATGCATTTTTCAACAGATACAGAAGTCAAATCCTTGGAGGCATGGCCGAGTTACTTATTCATAAAAATGTGTGTCTTATACAGTTGGCAAATGCACATGTTTCAGTAATTTGGTTCAAC